ATATGTATTAAGATAAAGCACATCATGCTATAAACATATTAGTGGGTGTGTGAAAACGTATACATTTATATTTATGTATAGATATACATTTTCAATTGTGTGCAATCTATTATATATATATATATATGTGTGTGTGTGTGTGTGTGTGTGTGTATGCACACATGTATTATACTTCTTGTATGCATTATATATATATATATATATGTGTGTGTGTGTGTGTGTGTGAGTGTGTGTGTGTGATTCTATAGGTATATCTAGAAGTATTTAGTATCGACTAATGGCATGTACACATTTTCATATGTATATAAATACACAGATTTATATGCATCTATATATCTGCTAGGAAGCTTAAGATGCATATATTTATATACACATATCTCATCAATTAAATACATGCATATACGCACACATATATATTTTTGTATTCCTATAGATATACTTGCATACATATGCACGTATATATGTCTTCATACATACACACACACACTCATATATATATATATATATATATATATATATATATATATATATATATATATATATGTATGTAGCTGTTATATGTTTGTTCATACATGCATATTTACAATTTAGAATATAAACGTCAATCACGTCATTACAGCGAAAGGCTGCATAATACAATCACAATCGAATTGAGTTTTTACCTGCACAAAAGTCCCTCCACATTTTAACTTAAAAACAACAGTTCTGTAAGATTATTTTATGCATCTCACAAAGTCCTCCGATAATTCCTGAATTTTTCTTCCTTCTTTTCTTTGATTACCTGAAGTTTTCTTTCAAGTCTTTCCGGGCTTTATAATGATTTCATTCCATTTCTTTTGCCTGCTGTCCTGTACCCATTTCTCTGTGCTTCCACATTTCTAACAGACACACACACACAGACATATATATATATATATATATATATATATATATATATATATATATATATATATATATATATATATATATATAACTGCGTATATGTGTGTTTGATTTGCATCTATGAATAATTTATGTGTCTACTCTCGTGTGTCTGTGAATAAATTTGCATGTATGTTTTTGTTTCTCATTCTTTCAAAACGACCATAATAATAATAATAATAATGCTTAATATTAAAGATGATAATGATAAAGGTGTCAGTAAGACTGATCCGTTTCAAAATAGAAAAAATTAACAAGGTTCATTTAAACAAAAAAAACAAAAGAAATAACAACATTATGTCTTTTTTTTCTTCCTTTAAAGACATTCGTACTAATTACTTATAGAATTGTCAATTCCTTCCTCATTGATTATTCCTTTGACGTCTGTGGCTTTTCGCAAAGTTTATGATTCATTTTCAAATTATAAACATCTACACACACATAATATATATATATATATATATATATATATATATATATATATAATATATTATATATATATATATATATATATATATATATATATATATATATATATATATATATATATATATATATATATATATATATATATATATATATATATGTGTGTGTGTGTGAGAGAGAGAGAGAAAGAGAGTGAGGGAGACAGTTTAGTGATTACCTGTCTATATGTGTAGACATATATTGCCACATTTATATAAGTGCTATGTTATAATGTACTGCGTATATATACATGGGTTTGTAAATATATGTACATATATGCATATATGCATTCATACGCACACACACACATATAAATATATGCAAACACTTCTGTGTGCATGTATATGAATATACATACATATATACATCTAGGTGTGTAAATGTGCGTGCATAAATATATATATTGGTGTATTTTCTGAAATAGTTATTTGAATCCCATGTAGCTGTTTTTACGTAAGCATATAAAATTTACTTATTTAACTTTATAGTAATTTGAGTAGTTATTATTTGTCTTTTATTATTACTGATAATAAGAAATTTCAATCTAAATGTTAATTTTTATCCATTTTTCCCTCATTTTAAGATTTTATATATATATATATATATATATATATATATATATATATATATATATATATATATTTACATTTACGTACGTTTTTTATATAAAGGATATGATACGACTATTCCTATGCCAATATATGCCTACCCGGTTATATATTCATGTATAATGCACATATGTGTGTAAAAGAACACATGCGTGTGCATATATATATATATATATATATATATATATATATATATATATATATATATATATATATATATATATATATATATATATACAGTTTATTATTTATTTATTTATTGGCATTTCTTAGATGAGCTTTTCATTTTATTTTTTTTTTCCCTATACCTTCCGGTGTATATCCAGAATGTCCTCTTTATTATAGTTTATTCCGTTTAGTTTTCCCTTGTTTTTTTCCACATTTTTAAACCTTTTATAATTGTCTATTTTTTCTCTCGTTTTCATTTTTTTATTCGTTTAAATTGTTTTTTTCATTGAATACTTGTTTCTTTTTCTTTTAATTTCCTTTTTTTCTTCACATCTATTTTAATCCGTGCTTTCTTTAAGACATAAATTATTTAAATCACTTTTGTCGTCCACGTGTTCATTCGCCCGCTCATCGTCGTCGTCGTCCTCCTCCTCCTCCTCCTCTTCATGCACCACTACGTAATTGTGTGCATCTTCCTTGTTATTTTGGGCGCTGGCATTTAGCCGTTGTTTTCCCTTTCTCGGTGCGCTTCGTCGACTACACGACTTACAAGCGTCCTTGTCGTCCATCGACCTGTGTTCACAAGTTTCAGCTTCCTCAGAAGCTAAATCAAATTTGTAAGGGGTCGGCTCACCGCGCATCTCACATATCACATTCGTGAGTGCCTTGATGTAGTTTTTAGCCAAAGTCAGTGTCTCGATTTTGGACAGTTTTCGATCGAGGTTCACGTGGGGAATCACCTCTCTTAATTCCTGGAATGCATCATTCAATGAGTGCATGCGCATTCGTTCTCTTTCGTTGCTCTCCAGCCGACGAAGATTCCTTTCGCGAGCGCTGAGCACTTTTCTCCGCCGCGAGCTCTTCCGGGCGCATTTCGCTTGTCGCGACTCGATCGAATCCTCAGTTGTCGAAGAAGCTCCTGAGTCTGACGGTGAGCTTGGACCTTCACGCTTGGCTCCGCGCTTTCTCATGTGGTAGTCCGTCGCCCGCATACCTGGTATGTCCCAAACTGAATCATTGGTACCTTCACCTTGAATCTCGTAATCCAAGCTAGTCGTCATTTCTTTCACTTTTGAACGCATCCCCCTAAAAAAGAAAAAAAAAAGATCATTAATAAAACAGAACAGAACCAGAATTTGCGGATTTTTTAATTAAGAGATGTATTTTCTCTCCGAGTTTATTTATCTAATACTGGAAGCTAAAATTTCATCAGAATGTCTCCAAATTGTTTCGCGTCCTTGGTAAGACGAGAAACTACATCCTACAATAAGGCTTCTGATGAGGAGGTTTTGATGGTAGCACCTTTTGGGGTCCCAGCAATGGGAAAATAGTTAACCCCCAAACTTGGGTCAAAACTGTATGAAAGTGTAAAGATAGGTTTTAATGCCAGTGATACATTTTTGTAAAAAGTTATTACCAGCAATACATTGTTGAATAATAAATATTACCAGTAATACATTGTTGAATAATAAATATTACCAGTAATACATTGTTGAATAATAAATATTACCAGCAATATATTGTTGAATAATAAATATTACCAGCAATACATTTCTGAAAAAAATATTACCAGCAATAAAAATCTTGTCGGCATTAATTAACCCATTGAGGTTGATATGCTGCAAAACACACCAAACCAATTTTTTCAAGTCACCAGCAATTAGTTATATTAATGTGATTGTAAAGAAATAGTCGTTTGTATTAACAAAACTTCATTTTAAAAAATTAGGAAATAATGCCCGAACCAGAGAAAAAAGAAAAATGTGTTTTCATATATATTTATATTTAAAAAGGAGAACTCCTTACTGATTTCTTTTGCTGTTTATCAACTTCCACGATTGCTAACAATTGCTAATATCAGAAAAGATTTTAAAATGTGCAACTAATGGTAAAATATGCACAAGTTTTTTTATGTCGTGAATTTAGCAGCTTAACTTTTAAATTCATTGACATGTCATTTAAAATAGCATCAATAGCAGAAAGAACGTAAAACATTCGCGGTTTTTAAGGAATATATTCTTTAAACAAAATGTTCCAAATGGTTTGAAAGATTTTTAAAAGGGCAGCTTCAATTTAAGATGAGCACCATAAACGGATCATCCTGTTATGATTAACGAACTCAATTTGTTTGAACTCAGTGAAAGTAGCACTGTTTGAACTCTGAATTCATGCCATTCAACTGTTCAGCGACATCTTGGAAATATAGGTAAATTTTATTTGACACAAGTCAACCGAAAAGCATGTGGAGACATCGCCATTTCTTGGTACTTTTGTGAACGCATCTAGCCATGTCCCTGCATATAAGTAACCAAGAATATGAAGTAACACAGACGAAGACGATGGTTTTGTGGTCGCGAACTGGCTAAAGTACAACCCAAAATGTATGTACATCCAATAATTATTTTGATAAATGCTTGGTGCATTTGCGTTGGTGCTATAGAAAGTAGCAAAAAGCAAATAATAAATGATAAGGCAATGCGTAAAATATTGACTGAAATAGCAAATCGAATGTAAAACGCGGAATTTAAAACCGATTTGTAGTCGAAAGTGTTAGTGTGTTTCTACGCGACGAAGAACAATAAAATATTGTCCAGTTCATTGTTCATTGTTACAATTACATCAAACAGTCTGGGAATAAGGCATTTAAACATTTCTAAGAAAGAAAATCATCCACTGAAACTGCATGTATATTGCTCGACTCTTTAGGCGAGTAAGCAACAATGAAGTCTTAAAGAAAATGTCAAGAGGATGTAGACTTATACTCCAAACCAGGAAAATACAGCTGAAATTGTTTGAACACATAATGCGGAAGGAGGGCTGAGAAAAATTAATCTTCACGGGCAATGTTGAGCGCAAGAGAGAGAGAAGAAGCAGCGAGCCACTTATCCGACAAAGCTTGTGTGAATGGACAGCAGAACGAGGGAGGGAGCATTAGCAAAGGATTTAAAATTGCTAATAGTCACAAGCGATAGAAGTTTATGGAGAGCCATGATTGCCTATGTCCTAAAGGGACTTGGAACATAGAAGAACACAAAAAAGATATACATCTTTCAACTAAAGGGTTGAAGTTCTGTAACATAATAATGCATGTTTCCATACAACAACAATCATTTGTAACAAAGATTAAACACTTGCTCTATCCGATTGACACATATTCCAAAGTTTACAGGACAATTTCGATTATCTAGTTTTAGAACATATGAACAGGTCTAAAAATAAAACCGGAATTTTGAAGTTCATGAATCATTGGAAGGAGTTTAATGATAATCATGGAATTAATGAACTAATTAAAGATATTTTTTTATCTGTTTCTAATCCTAAATTCAAACTTCACATGAAAAAGAAATATACTCATGTAGTGATATCAATAGGAAATACGGAACTATAAATTCATTGATCGCAGATCAAAAGCCAAAATATATAATGATGATTTACTGAGCAGATGAGCCATCTGGAAATTGGTGCAATATATACAACCAGAGGTAGAAATATAAACAAACCAGTTACTATTAAACTTGAGAGAAACGTTTATTTAATCTGAAGAAGTCTTTCTGTATTACGAAACGCTTTATGTAAGATTTACATATATATTATGTGTGAAATTCTTAATTATTCTTTGGTTATTCTAATTTATAATTTCATCGTTTTTGTTTTCATTAATTTTCTGCAACCTACAAAAAAAGCAAAATTTGCATGTAGTGTAATTTATGGATAGTGGCTCATAATCAGATAACGGAAAATCAAGTTCGAATTCTAGTCGTGTCTGTTAGATTCAAATACTATTAAAAACATATGAATCCAACTCTTCTCCTCTAGCTATGGGTTAGATAGTATGACATATCTAGAAAAATATTTCTCTCCAAAAAATTGTTAATACAAAATGATAATTATTCCAAAATATGTTTCAGCTTTAAATAGCGCACAAACTAATCAATCAATAAAAAACATTGAAAAATGATAAAAAAAATTGGAAAGTCAAAATGACATTGAATTGACGTAAAGAGCTGTTTTATGCGATTAGATTTAAAAGAAAAAAAAGAGCATAAAAGCAAAAATCAGATAGTGTAGACAATATCAAGATGAAAAAACAGAACGTTTCTTCCTCTCTAGCTGTTTCAAATAATGAAGAGGTGGTAATTGAAGTGAAAATACTTTTACATTCTTCAAGAAAACAAAGTGAGAATTTGAGGGAATTATCAAAGAAAGACAAAATAGGTATTTATCTGTACGATCACTTGAACTCGGAATATGACAAAAATTCCAGTTTAGAACGTGAGTTGCTCATGTACAACGGAAAAATTGATAAATCTTCCTTGGCATTTATTCATTGGCGATGATTCAGGCACCAGAGATAAAACCTATATGTCACCCTTGTGAAACGTATTGCCTTGAGTGAGGCACGACCCACTGAAATTGGGTGCATTTAACCTCTTAGCACCAATGGGGTTCTGGTTGCGCCATAGAAATATAAAGTGGCAAAGTATTGAAACATTGTCATCGAAGTTTTAAATAAATACATATTTATGTTTTCATATATTTTAGACATATAAATTAGCATATTTTTCGGCAGAAAGAAAAATAGGCCCCAAAACTCATTGGCAGAAAGATTGTCGTAAAAGAATATAAGAATATATGTGCGGATTTGAACATATATATATATATATATATATATATATATATATATATATATATATATATATATATATATATATATATATATATATATATATATATATAGGATGAATAATTTGTCGTCTTAATTACGCGAAAATGAAAATAATACTGACATTTCATTTTAATAGATATATTTGCCAAAATTGCACAAGAATATCTTGAAATAATAAAGAGTAAATTTATTCAATATAATCGCCATTGTCTTTGACCCCGGACTCCAGACGACTTTGGAATCTCCTGCAATTGTTCTGGGCGGTCTCATATTTTAAGTTGTTGACTGCTGCCATAATTCTTACATTCAGTTAATCTTTGGTATTACATAATAGTCTAATTAGTTATAGTCTGGGGAGTTAGGTGGCCAGATGTAATGGGTTATATATGGTCTCAGAGATTGTCTGACTGGGTCCCCTGCTTGTGTGGAATGGTGCAGATTCCTGTTGCCAGACATACGTTCTTCCAGCAGTCTCCTTTTTGACTCGGGGAAGCACTACCTCCTCAAAGCAATTGATGTAAGCCTCCGTGTTAAGTCTGAGGCATCCATCAACAAATTTCAGAGTTTTCTTATCAGAAACATCAGAGTGAGTTTTCCAAGCTGCCTTACCTTCGTAATCACCATTACACTCATCCAACTCTTTACGAATTCTCTGAACTGTCCTCATGTTAACACCTAAACACTCTCAAATGTTCGTACTGGAGCTTCCGATGCAATACCAAGCAGTACAGCATACAGTTTCCAAATTCCTGGCCTCATATTGGTCTTTTTCTCACAGACGATGCTCGACTGATGACCGGAAAAAGCGATAGCTAAAATTTAAAATGTATTTTTAAAATTCAAACTATTTCCTGAAGCTTTTATTTTAGTTTTAATTTGAATATATTAGATGAAATCGAATTTAAATTGATCGGGATGACAAATCTGTCAACACATTACTCAACTTTATTAAAGTTTATTAATTTCAAAATAAAATATACTTAATTTTACTAATCTGAATTAAAACAAATATTACTTTCTTCTAGTTTCAAAACTGGCGGAAAAGCATGTTTTAACACGGAACTGCGTATTTTTAAAAAGTTTTGACGCAGTTATCGATAGTTTAAAGTTTGTCATTTTAAGTAAATGGCACATAACTCTATAAAACATGAACAACCTGAACGCCTTTTTTATACATGATTTTTATATAATTTCTTAACTGCCCATACATGATTTTTTATACATGATTTTTATATAATTTCTTAAACGTTTAGGAAAATATTCCATCTAATATTTTATTGAATTTTAAGTACTTCATCTTTAAATTTACTATGGTTATTTAGCCGC